GAAATCATTTCTTCCTCATTTTCTTGTTCTTGAAGTGGTTTGGAAATTTTCACATTGTCAACTTTGTTTGATCTTTGGACAATTTTTGGGAGGTGTTTTCCCAACAGAGAGAGATATGTACCGTAATGAGAGCTGCCAATATTGTGGTGTAATGAGTCATACTGCTAACATCTGTTGGTACTTGCCTAAGCAATCTGTGAAATTCCGCAAGCACATGGCTGCTTTTACTCTAGATAACTCAGTTATCGATTGTGAATGGACATCTCATACAGGAGCTTCTAATCATTTGACAGGTAATGCAGTTATGTTTAAAAACTTACGTCCATATTTTTGTAGGACATTGCAACTTGTTCAGCTCAAGATCAGGACTCTGGGACTGTTGAAGTTTTGTATCCACTTGAGCCTGAATGAATGGTTTGAAGTTTTGCATCCACTTGTCTGAACGAATGATCTGAAGTTAAAGGAAGAAAACATTAGCCGAGTTGATACAAGCGATTTTTGTGTTGAATTGATGACCCGTTAAATTCAAAAAAAAAAAATTAACATGGGAAAAGTTTCATATTTATGTTTAATTAAAGAAATCCAAGTACACCTTGAATAATCATCAACAATAATTAAAAGGAAACGTGATTAGAAGTAGGCATATTAACGAGCCGAGCCGGCTTGCGAGCTCGAGTAAAATGGTGTGAGCTTTTTTCGGCCCCGAGTCAATCCTAACTTTTGCTCGGCCATAAAATCTAGGCTCGACCAGAGAAAATGAGAATTCACTAAAATATAGAAAAAGATAATTTGTAGAAAAAATGAGAATTCAATAAAATAGAGAAAAAAATACCATGATTTTGTATTTTTAATTTGTCTAAGTTGTAATTAGGTTAAACAACCTATCTAACTTGTAGAGAAGAACTAAATATATATAGGATACAAATGAGGGACGTCCATAACCCTAGTCTTGGTGTTGTAAAAGGAAAAGAATGGTGAAAACGTGTGTAAAACACAAAACGAGGCCTTGGCCAGATGAATATGATGCTCGAACGCTAGGTGGGAGTCGCCTAGCTACTTGAGCGTCTAGTTGACGCTAGACGGGTGCCAACTTCACTGCTTTGGATACTTGAGTTTCAGTCGAGGCGAGCATAATTGCACTAAAATGCCCTCCCTGATCCATTTCTTGATCTTTCTTCAAATCCAACACAAATTACAACTTTTAATTGGGCTTTCAAATAAAATTTCAACTGGAATTTGTCAAATAGATTTCTAAAATAGCATTCTTAAGAGACAGCTTTCGACTAAGGCTTTACCGAGCCAAACATTTTTTTATAACTCCTAGATAGCTGACAAAAGCTATGAAGCTGCCTTAACCGACAGCAAAGCTACTGCCAACGATGCCTATTAAGGCAGCTTTATAACCGTCTGTAACAGGCATCTATTGCCTTAACAGTTTTAAATGTATGTGTATAAATTTTTTTTGCTGTTATTTATTTTTTTATTATTTATCAATCGGCTCAGGCCAAAAATGGCTTGTGTGGTTCGTTGGTTAGGCCCGAACTCTAGCAGACATTCCGAAATGGGGCTCGACCCGAGCCTCGACTTGGTACCTACGAGTCACGAGCCAAGCTAGCTCAGGCTTTTTCTGGGCCGCTTGAGCCGATAAACCCAATTTACATCCCTAATTAGAAGGTATAAAAAAGGAACCACAAATGTCAACAAGAATTAATTGAAAGC